CAAAAACACACAGACACACACACACACACACACACACACACACACACACGCACGCTGTGGCCCAAAAAAATCAAACTTGCACTGAGCACGACTGAGACATGCATAGGTGTCAAATCCAGGTCCAGGAACGCTAAACCGGTTGGCTGAGCCACAGGCACTTCAACTCGGGGAACTCGTTTACCTGCAAGTTGAATAGAAGCACCTGTGGCTAAGGCCAAACAAGTGGCAGGATTTTTACTCTCTAGACCTGCATCTGATACCTCTGAAGACATTTAAGCATTAAAAGTTAGGCTTTTCAAGCAATTGACTCTCCATAATGCAACGCAGACGTTGCAGAAATTCCTGTCACAAAGGCAAAAAATGAGCTTGGCAATATGTTACGAGCGTGACGAAATGTGAAATTCGATTGCCAGAGAAACGCCCTCTGCTGACCGTGAAGGAAAATTACATGTTGATTGATGACGTCGAAGCTCCCTCTGCTGGCTCTACAATTTGCACACTGGTTGCAAATAGCAATGTTTGAAACGTTTCAAAGTGGCTATCAATTGCCCTGGCAGCTCTTCTATAGTCAGCTGTCAATCAAATGTGAGCCAGGATCATCTGTTGTCGGGACATTGAGGGCTGGGGAACTTTTTTTTCCCCTGAATGATTTGGCTGCCTCCACAATGCGACTCATGACGTCATAAACAATGTCCGATTCGTCAACGTCATGTCTCTGTGTGTCGTCAGGACCCCTTTGTTACGGTCCACTTTATTCCGTGCTGCGTGGGAGCTGCTGTGAGTCAACGCCGCCGTGCTTGGACGCTACTTTGCTCTCATTTCCCCGCACAGAGTCCCACGATCTAAAAGTCCCCCTTCTCCACCCACCCCCACAAAGTTCTTTGACGATGTTCGTGGCGGTGGAAAGCCGGCAGCTGTCGGAGAACGACCGCAGACTTTTAGCCATGCAGGCCCTGTGCAGGACCCCCGACCCGGTGGCCTCCTTCCTCCCGGTGCTGGTGGACTCTCAGCCTCCGCTGCCGCCGCCGCCTCCTCCTCCTCCCGGCCCGGGCTCGCTTCCTCACGCCTCCTTCTCCTCTTCCTCCTCCTCCGGGTCCTCCTCATCATCTTCCGCGCGCAGGCCCGCCGCCCGCTGGAGCGCCAAGCCCCGAACCGGCCCGCAGATTCAGTAAAAAAAAAAAAAAAAAAAAAAAAAACTCGCCTTTTCAAATGTTATTCCATATCCCACCAGTGCACTGATTTGTCTACGTAGTCACGTTTTACTAAGACAACAGTAGAGTCTTGGTAGTTTTGTCTCCACTCATCCACAATTATCAAGAAAATCAAATACAGCATGCGTCTGCAAATTGATTCAGCATCTTGAATTGACTTACCAGTGAGGACGTAGTGCGTACTAGCATTGAGTGCACTCACAGGATTTTGAAGAACATGACTGTTGTGCAGGAACGTGACGTCTTCGGTGAAGCTGGGTTGCGATCTGGACCTGGAGTTCATCGCTCGGAACTCGTGGAACGTGCAGCACCTGTCAACGGTACCGTCAATATTTGCAAAGAGACATGCTTACAGAGGTGGCAAAAGGATTCAACACGCAGCACTTAAGTAGAAGCACAGATACATACAAAAAAAAACCAACAAACGCGTCAAAGTTCTGTGAATTTAGAGATATGTTTCAAAAGGTATTTTACATGGTGTACATGTTTTTTTTTAAATTATTAGACAGTAGAATTTAGGAACAACAGAAGCTCGTGTTATTCAAAGCACCACATTCACCATCAATTATCCTCTTTGTAGCTAATAACAAAATGTGTGTAGGAGTGTGTGTAAGGCTGAGTAAATCAAGTCAAAATAAATCATTTTTGACAGGCTAAATTGGATACCGGACAGGTAATGAGTTGATATTTTGCTTTGGGGACTCTGTTGCCCTCTTCAGGAACATCGTGGTACTGCAACAGCCCCCGTTAACTGTCCATCAAAGAGGTTGAAGAGCAGCCATTTGTCAATGCTCAACGTTTGCTTGCAGGCTAAATAAAGTTAAGATGGCTGCAAATTGTGCGCACTACAGCGACTGAGGGATCAATGTGGTATTGCAACACAAGCGGGATGATAGCTTGTAAGTTTGTGGAGGCTCGGCTGGATGTTTTTGACAAAAAGCGCCTGCTTCCACAGCAACTCTGACAGCAAATGTTGACTTGTGATTTTTTTGGGGTACATTTTGTTTGTGAGTGAGTTCCCACCTCCTGCTGTGCGTCAGGTCTTCAAGTCGCTTGTCATGAAGATCCGCAAGCCCCAGACCACGGCCAGGATCTTCCAGTCCGGAATCCTTTTCTGCACGGGAGCCAAGAGGTCCGTCTGCGTGCGTGCGTGCGTGTGTGGTGTCCATCTGATCTGTCTGTCCACGATGGGTTGACCGTTTGTTGTCTCACAGCGAGGACGAGTCTCGGGTGGCCGCCAGGAAGTTTGCCTTCAAAATCCTGAAGCTGGGCTACCCGGTGCGCTTCCTGGACTTCAAGGTGCTCAACATCGGCGGCACCTGCAAAACGTTCCCCATCAACCTGGAGGATCTCTTCTTGGCCCACCAGGACCACTGCAGGTTAGCTCAACTGGTCACCACAACGTCTTTTGTATATTATTCTGACCAATTTATCACCTTTTGGAGAGCCTCAGAATACCCCCTGCCCAAAAAAACCCCCAGAAATTTTCCACTGTCCTTCTTAAAAGTAGGTGGAGTGAGCGCAAGAAATAGGTGACTTGCGTCTGACATCACTTTGAGGAACTGAATGGCAAAAACCAGCTAGCATCACGCTAACATGAAATGTTAAACGCCTTAGATAGGCTAACAGAAATGAGCATCGCTGTCTCGTTAGCTCTGCACATTCCTTGAGACCTGCTACAACGCATACGCCGCTGAAATTATTCGTGTTTGTTCCACTTTCTTTGCGCAGTTACGAACCGGAGCTGTTTCCTGCTCTGCAGTACAACTTTCGTCCCGGCATGACGGCGTCCATCTTTTCCTCTGGCTCCATCTCACTGGTCGGTAAGTGCGATACATGGATGGATGGAGGAGGTGAATTTTGCGCAGAGAATAGACGGGGGAAGGAATGAAGGCAATTTCGTGCAACCGAATCTCAATCGAGTTTCGAAATGTACATCGGTGTCAAGGGTGCCTTGACCTCTCACCACATTTCCCCGTTTCATGCGGCAGGGGCTAAAACGGAAGATGAATTCTACCGAGCATTTTGCACCCTGGATGCCATCCTGATCAACTTCAGGAGGACGTGAAGTCGACCCCGCTTGCGACGGTCACGTTGTGGGTGTGAGCATGCAGCATTAGCCACGCCACCGTCGCTTACGCCGCCACCGAAATAAATCCATATTATACAGCATTACATCATTATATCCTGATCCCACTCGTAGCATGACTAGTCTCGCCAACTTTGCTGTCGTCGCGTCAACAGTTTAAGCTGGAGCAAACTTTGATTGACCAAAGTGTCGCTTTGATGCTAATGTGTTTTATTTTTAGCTCGAATGATCATCAACAAGTACAAGTTGCGTTGTGCTCGTTGACAAGCACTTGCTGTCTTCATGTAAAGATGTCATAAAAAGTGACTGGAAAACAAAACAAGAGAAAGTGTCGTTTGTGAAATCACCAGCAGATGTCACCCGAGTTCAACAAAAAAATGACGCTTCAATCGTTGAATGACTTTGCATAGTGCATAAAATAATGCGTGTACAGCTAAAAAAAAGCTCAAGCCATATGCTATGTACATTTATCGATTAAATCCGCTCAAATACCATTCTAAAAATGCTGAAACATTTACAGTAATTGGAAAAAAAAGGCACATTTGAATTCCCGACTCCTGAATCACTACATCGTGATTTTCTCTGGCGATTTGTTGGAACTATCTCGGACCAACTATCCAAAAATCTCGACAGCGTGCATCCAACTTCAGATGAGGTGATTCCTGACCTCCCCGCGGATCAAAAGCGAGACGGGGGCCGCCCACTGACCCGTTCTACCCCCTCCCCCATTCCTCTCCATCTTCTCCTGCTGCACAAGCAGAGCCTGTTGAGGATTTAAACGTGAACAAGGGAGGGGGGGGAGAGAGGAAAAAAAAAACAGGCCAGATGTTCCCAGTTGGATGGAGAACATGGAAACCAGGATCCGGTTGTGTTCGTCATTTCACTTTTTAACCCCTTGGGCAACGGCCTACAGCGCAACGCTTCCCTCGCTTGATAGCGACATTGACGGATGCTCGCCGCCCAAAGCAGCCCGGTGGGCAACGCAAACGTCATCGCCATGAAGGACATGTGACCCGCTTGACCTGTTGCCCTCAGGGAGGCGCTACAGCTGCGTCAGAACAACGACTATCAAGACTCCGGAACAATTTTTTTCCCCCTCAAAACGCCGTCAGCACACAAAACAATCCCTGACCGTGCATGCCCCGTGTGCGAAATTCAAAGTGTCGGTGCAATAGTGGCTCATAATGCTGGTCATTATCTTCTCGCATGATTATCTTTTGTTGCAAACATCTTAACGTTGACATCCTTTTGATACTTTCAGCTTGCAAATGTCTCACGTTTCAACCCCGAGCAACCGTGATGTCATTTTCAGTCAACACCAAGGGACAAAATGGCCGCCCACGGAAATGAGTGCATCATTCATATTCCGGAAATGCAATTTTTGTCGGAAAGCCGTGTTTACACTCGTGGGGCCACATGGAATGTATTAATGTCAAAACCATTTTTTGAGTCAAAACGATAAATTCCGCAGTGGCAAATTTGGGTCCTCGAGGGGCTGCTGCAACACTAATCAATTACAACTTTTGGTTTTTTTTTTTTCTTCCTACTCCCGATCAAACTGTTGGCACGTGACCATGAATTGGTGCGATGGTGGACAAGCTTTATGCGAGCGCACAATAGCAATTTGAAGGCAGGAAAGAGTTAAACGTTGCTGCTCTGCGCGCTGGAGGAGGTTCAAGGAGGAGGAGGTGGAGGAGGTGGAGGCCACCGTTTTCTATTGATAGTCATCTTCACTCTGACTTTGGGTTCGTCGGGAACGCTGGTGGAAAGCGGGAGGAAAGGCAAGAAAAGGGAGATGCCAGCGAGATGAGGAGCGACGCGCCTCAGCCGTGAGTTGATTGATTAGCACTGGAAGTGATCACAATCTCTTTCTGTGAGCACGTTTGTGAAATATCTTTTTTTTTTTCCCCATATTGGCACGCCGCCAAAAGCGAAAGTTCACATTTGTGTCAACGGTTAGTTTGGGCCTCCTGCCATCTGGTGGGGGAGCGTTTGATTGTTCTGCTTGTCACAATAAGTCGCCGGCATCGAGAGATGAACAAAGGCGCATCATTAGTTGACGTAAATCGATCAACTTTGGGGACCGATTAAGTGAAAGTGGATCATTTCAACTCCCACAATGATGAAGGCGACCCATCCCAACCAAACACAAATGTCACACAAAAGTACATCAACAGAAATAATGACCGTACAGTGTACACACATAACGATAAGTCCTGCGAGTACCTGATTATCAAGCCTTGACAGAAAAGTGACTGATTTCATTGCCGATTAATTCACTCGTTGCCGTCAAAATCAGCAAACGCCCGATAAATGGACGTCTCCGATTTGTGATTGGCTTTAAACCTGGGTACAGTTCACACACATACGATACGATATTTGGACTGATTCCCTGTTCCAAATCAAAGTCGGAAAGAGTCCTGATTTGGACTCTTTCATGTCATCTCACCCAGCTGCTCCGTGATTGGCTGGTGAAGATGTCCCACCTCTTCCTGGCCGGCATGACGGTCCCGCCGGAGGACGCCAACACGGCGTCTTTCTCCTACGAGAAGCTGAGCTCATCCGCTCAGGACGGCAACGGCGCCGTCGTCGCGGCGACGCGAGCCCCGCGCATGGACGAGGCGCAGCTCCTGAGCGCGGCCACCGGGGGCGCCGAGATGTCGTGCTACCGCTGCACGGTGCCATTCGGCGTGGTGGTGCTGATCGCCGGCGTGGTGGTGACGGGCGTGGCCTACACCTTCAACTCGCACGGCTCCACCATCTCCGTCCTGGGGCTGGTGCTCCTGGGGGCCGGGCTGGGCCTGCTGGGGGCCAGCGCCACCTGCTGGAGGCTGCGGATGCGTGGGAAGAGGGACCGAAGCAGGAGGGAGAGCCAGGCCAACCTTGTGACTGCGCAGCAAGACGGCGGATATTCAGTCGTCGTCACAAAATGACAATACTTTTGTTCAAAAACAAGGGTCTTAAGAGGGTCTTTGGAAAAGGAACCCTCTCTTGACCCAAGTTTGGAATCACAAGCGAGAAGAAACGTGAAGGACCAACTGTAAATAGAACGGGGTGTCCTTTGGACCAATCAGATGAATCGTTCCATCATGACGACCCATGTGTGGGCGACTTTCTAGTTTTGATCAACTTAAAATCTAAATGATCAATCGATTTGTTATAAATAATGACAAAAAAATATTTGGGGGCACAATTATTTTTTTTAAATACCTGGTTAATCCTTTTATTGTAAATATAGTGCTGTAATCATAATTTGATTAATGATAAATGCAAAAAAATACATCTATTTTGAACTGAAACTGTTTTACATACTTCAGTCCATTCGAAAAACCACAAACACTTTCCCATTCCTGGTCGAAGCCGTTTGTTGTGCGGCACCCCCCGATGGTCAGGAGGTTAAACAACAGTCGATATGCCACAATGAACTCATAATCTAAATTGGATTGAAATTAAAAAAAAAAAAATACATGACTTAAAATTAACTTTGAAGGAGCGTAGGTTAGAATATGAGAATGCTGCTAAGAGGCGATAAGAGAAATGGTACTTCTGGATTCTTTATCCTTTTCGTTTTGATAGAAGAAAAAATGTGACATCTCCAAACTGCATCAGATAAATTGGTGAACGATAATTGTATGTGTACGAGGCTTTTGGAGATGGACTTAATCTTTGGCCCACACTTGGTATACAAATGTATTTTTGAAAGGAAACACGCACAAATGCCAGAAAGGAAAAAAAACTTTCTTGCCAGACCTAATATTATTATTCTTATTATTCTTAGTCTGTCACAAAAATAGAACAGTGAGTGTAAAGTGTATTTGTATTTTTCTTTTTTTCATCGCCTTATTTATTCATGCGCCACATTGCCCTTAAGCACAACTGGATGCATTTCTATGAATAAAGACGCCAGAAGTTTGTGTTTGTGTTATGTTGCCTGGCAACTAGTGTTGTTGGGGCGTTATGAATGAGGAGGGGGCTGAAGGGGGGGGGCATGGGGGTCTCTGGAGGTTGCTGTCAGGTCAATTCTAGCGAGCTAACTTTATCCTGACCTGTGAGCAGCATGCTCGAACCGTGTCGTTTTGTTTGAGGCTCTTTCCTGGGAAGTTGGGCTGAACAGGAAGTGACATCATATACATAACATTTCAACATTTTAAATCTCATATTACAGTAAAAGCCATAACTGTGAAACTGTAATCTCTTCTTTGGAAGGGGATATCCCATCTGCGCCCTCCCTTCCTGAGGTGTAGGACGGTGGCAGTGCCCCCACCCCCCCCCCCCACCCCCACACACACGCACACACCCCACCGGCCCCTCCTCCACAAAACACTAACTACCCCCCAGACTCCCGGGCGGAAAAGGCCTGGCACGCAAGGAGACTGGATGAAAGGAGCCGGCCGGAGAACAGGAAGACCTTTGCTGCTCGTCCACGCCCGCCGCTTCAACTTTGACTCCTGGAAGGGGGGTGGGTCAGCCCTCAAATAGACACCGGAGCCCTGAAGTAGGGCGGCTATGGCAACTAACCCCCCCACCCTCCACCTCATCACCCCAAAAAGGTTCGGTCACCCTGTGAGAGGCCCTTCGGTCATGTGGATCATTTTGTGGTACGTCGACTCCCCCTAGTGGTACGTGAAAGCATCACTGAATGAAAATTTCAAACGGAGCCTCAAGGTGACTAATATTGTTATGTTTCATTTTTCAGAAGAGCAGCTCGGGCTCATTTTTAATAAACAGCTTTGCGAGGCGACCGTGTTTTAGTGTTTATTTGTTTTCACCAATATTTTGGATTTTTCATTTTTATGCCAACATGAGGAAAAGCAGTTTGGCTAATGGCTGAATGGTTTGCATCTCCCGTCTTGGTTTCGAATTCACTTCTGTGGCTACGTGTGATTATTATTATTATTTTTTTTATTGTTTTGGGGCACGTCCACACGTGCCCTTTGGTGGCGCTACTTCCTGCCTCTGTTAGTGGATAAGCTTTTGGACTTCCTGTGATGAGGCCTACCTTCACCAATTGTTCTGCTTGGCGGGTTTTTTTGACAAAAAGATCATTTTCTCCACTTTTGGGTTAGAAACTCTTGTTTTTGATGAAATCAACCCGTGGCCAACTATAGAACGGAAAAAAAAAGACTTTTTTTTTGTTTTGTTTTGTTTTTGTGTTGTGGTTTTTTTCTCACACACACACACACACACACACACACACACACACACACACACACACACACACACACACACACACACTTGTTTAAGTTTGGTCGGGTCGGTGTTTATTTTACCGCAGGGCGCAATATCCCGTGTGGCTCTCCCGAGCTTTGAAAACAACCGTCAGTCGGTGAATTCCAATTCATAACAATTACCATTCCTACAAATAGAAATGCAAAGTCTTTGCCGTGGACGTCATTGCGCCGCGTGTCCGGCGCACTGGCAGCAAGCGTCCCAGCGTGGCTTAAGTTATTAAAAGTGAGCAGCTTTAACCATTGGTCGCTGACATTGAAGGTCGGATTAATTCCCGTGCAGCCCGTCCGGCTGCCGCTGCCTGCTTTCCTCCCGCTCTCGTCCCTCTCATTTCATCTCTCGCTGGCCCCCAGGACGTCCCCCCGACCCCCTCGCCAGGACCCTCGGGTCGCGCTATGAAGCGTCAGCATGGGGTTCATGGAATTCTATCTGGAAATTGACCCGGTCACGCTCAACCTCATCATCCTGGTGGCCAGCTATGTCATCCTCCTGCTGGTTTTCCTCATCTCCTGCATCCTGTACGACTGCCGGGGGAAGGACCCCACCAAGGAGTACGCGCCCGATAACGCCCCGCCGCCCCCCAGCCAGTCGCCCATCCGCCTGGTGGTCATGCAGAACTCGCCCGCCTCCGCCCGCTACGAGCCCAACCACATGACCCAGCCGCCCACGCCCGACCTGAGCCGAGATCGCGAGAAGCGGACCACCCTGGTGTGAGAGACGGCGCGGCCGTCGTCGTCGTATCAGCGTTTGCGACCGCCCTGTTTGCCGCGCATCACAGAGGGTAAGGTGACATCACGCGCAACAAGGAGCTAGAAAAGGGGGCGTTCTGTGGGGTGCGGTGCGGTGCGGGGGGGGGGGTCGCAAAGATCTTTGACATTAAATTATGACAGGCGTTGGAGCTTTTTGGGTCCAGGGAGAGTCGTATTTCTCTCAGATGAAGTCATGATATTCCATCCACCCTTATTCTTCCGCTGAGGTCAAGTTGTGTGTGGGGGACGGGGTTGGGGGGGGGGAGTTTTAGGCG